TTATAGAATATTTCATCAGATTCTACATCCTGATTAGGGGGTCTATAGCAAACTCCCATCACAATGTCTGCCTTGTTGGCCTTCCCCTTAATTCTTATCCATACACACTCAACACTGTGATCCACACTGTTAAATTCTAAACATTCAAAACTGGCCCTAACATAGAGGGCCACCCCACCACCTCACTTTCTTTGCCTATCCCTTTTGAAAAGCTGGTAGCCATCGATCACAGCACTCCACTTGTGTGTGTCTCCCTACCACATCTCTGTTATGGCAACCATATCATAGTTTCCTTGCTGTACAATGGCCTCCAGCTCCTCCTGTTTATTCTCCATGCTGCGTACATTAGTGTAGATGCACTTCAGCTGGGCTAATTGTCCTGCCACTTTCTTGGGAGGACAAGCCTTAATTCGCACCTGATCATGCTCACACACTTCTGTAGTTACCAAATTATGACTACCCCTCCTGTCTTTGCTGCCACACAAACCACCATCCCCTGCCGTCACCGAGACGGACTGCAAGACCTTGCTAACGCTTTTACCCAGAAGTACTGGTATGCTGCTCCCAGGCACCACTTTTGTAATCCTGGTTTCATCCCCGTCCCCCTTCAAACCTAGTTTAAAGCCCTATGAATGAGCCCTGCTAATTCTTGTCCCAGGATCTTTCTTCCCCTATGGGTTAGGCTAATGAATTACTACCTTTTAAAACAATTCCTAGTTAAGAACATTTAATAAAAATGATGGTTATTAAAACTATAGATCTTCATCAGGATTAAATTTCTGCTTTTCCATCCGTTAGTTTTCAAATCTTTCTCCCAACTGCAGCACCTTCAAAAACTAGATATATTCCAAAATATAACTGCTAGTATCTGATCTGACATGCTGATAATCTTGTCATTCTGGTGTCAGCCATCATATGTGTGTTTATATTGTGCTTTCCTCTTTTTTTTTTTTTTTTTAAGCATTTTATACCATGAACAGTGTATTGAAAAGCTAGAAAGAAGAACCATGATAAAAACAATTACAGAAGATTGATCTTAGGCTTTAGGACTTGTTAAAGAAAGTTCATTACTGTTTCAGCAATGTGATGCTTGCTAAACAAACAGCAGTCACGTTCCCATTCAAACACACACTGCTCTTCTCCCTTTGTCTGCAAAAATGAATTACCCTATTGCAACCATTTATGGCAGCCATTTTCTCACAAAACACCGATCACAACCTTACTGAGTTTGTGATGTTAACTTGTTGTTCAAATGAAGAGTGAGGCTTCTGAATAGAGTCATAACTGTGAGAACCTTATTTCATTTATGTATGCTCTACAAAGTTTCAGACATAGCCAAATAACACGCTCAACTTTTAAAAGATATTTTGAAGTGCTTCTTCTCTCTTTCCTTATTAGGATAAAAATTAAGGAATTAACTGTGATGTTTTTATTTGTAGTAGGAAACTAAATTTGCAGACCACTACCCTGAAACAAATCACTGAAAGTGGCACAAGAGAATGTTGTAAACGCTAGTTAAACCAACAGGAGTCTCACTCTGACAGAGACTACAGATACAATTGCTTTGTAGGTTTTGATGCTAAATTGACTTTGTAAAACCATCTAGTTAAAGCACCTGAGGTAAACTTTCATTCATTTATAAGTTTTGTGTATACTACAAGAAAAATTAGCTGACTGTACATTTTCATAAGATTACTATGTCACTAACAATAATTTCTTGAACAAGTATTCCAGAAAGTTTCTGAGCACTCATGACTTCTATCATGACTTTTATCATGACTTTATTCAAGTCTTAATTTTTCCTTCACTCATTTCCTACCTCAGAAAACCTGAGACAAACTTCATAGCATTAAATATTCAGTGTTGCCTTTTCTTCTCCAAATAGCTGTATTAAAAACACCTTGCAGACTTCAATAAACTGCCTCAACCTTGCTAAGGTAGCAGTATTGAATCACATTTTTTATGTCCTGAAAGTTTCATATTTTTATTTAAAATAAAATTAATGGATATGACACAACATAATGAAGACATTCACATATTCATTGGATTTCAGTAGGGTTTGTGCTCCTGATAACTCCTACTGTACAATTCAGCTTGGACAAATCAAGCACTCTCCCTCTTCTATAATCAGATGTTTCAGATATTTAAAGGAGGACAAATTACCTCAGGGAGCAGAGCAGAAAATGGAAAAAGGAAAAAAAATACATGTGAGGATTAAAAAAGTCAGTACAGAGCAGTACTTTAAATAGAGCTGAGCTATCAGAAACACTCTCTGAACTTTCTCACATGTACAGCTGCTCAGGTTTGGAAGCAAATGTCTTCGAAGTCTTTGAGGCTCCTAAATCCTTTCTAGGAGTGGTTCTGTATCAGAGGACCTAATACAACTTGAATTCCATTTTCATTGCTCTGACTTGGGAACTAATAATGCCATTGTAGGTCATTGTCTTCCAGGCTTCACATTTTATTAACCAATTGGTGACAACATCTCTTTGATGAACAGGTATGTTTGAAAGGTCAAATAAGCAGAGTTGCAAGATCAGTGGATGACAAAAACAGCTGAACAGAAGTTTGGATATTGAAAAAGTGTCAACAATGATTCAGTGAAAATGCTGTCCAAATCTGCAATAAATATCAGTCCAAATTTTTTACCCCTTTCTACTTTGCTTCCTCAACAATTGGAATATGAGATTCAGCTGACCAGAATTACCACCTTGACAGATTATTAAAATAGCCAGTAAATAAATTCCTTTCCTGTCAATTAGACTAAATCAACTATGACTGCAACCATGCTAAAAATATAATACATGTAAGACTGCTCACTTAAATCCATTCTTACAGAACCATAGCAAAAGTACATTAAATACTCTGAAGTTTTTACACTGTTTTCCTTCCTTGTTGATATTTTCATCTTACAAGGTAACAAGAACTTGAAAGGAAGCAGAACAGGGCTCTCAAAGAAAATTGATCACACATGAAAACACAAACCTGACTTCCTCTGTAGCCTCTGGACCCCTGAAATTGAAAAAAAACATAGATGAAATTTGGTGAAAGTATTTTTATTGAGCTTGAGAAGCAGGGCACAATAGCTTGCTGTGCAGAGGCATGCTGGGCTCAGTATTCATAGTCCCTACTGTAAAACCCTCTACTGCCACATATGGGATTGATTCGTTTCCTGTGGGAAAACGGTATGGCCCTCATTTTCATTTCCGTTATGTAAAGCTTTACCTAAGGCCAGTTTGGAGTTGGTGGTGGAAAAGTCACTGGCAAGTTGCTGAGTCAGTAACCTCTTCAGCCATTTGACCATGCTTTGGTTATACCAAGTGCCTCTCAAAAGGAGACAGCAAAAATTGTCTGCTATCCTTGCAGCTGTGTTTTGTTGTCCATCCATGCTTCAAGAAGACAGCATAGGGATTCGTCCTCAGTACACAAAACAGGTTTGTAGTTAACAGGTTTATAGGGAAAAAAATTAGGAAACGCTTCGAAGTGACATACTTGCCTTATGGCCTCTGGCACCTGGACATCCCCTGTCTCCTTGAGTCCCATTGAAACCAACTGGGCCTCTCTCTCCCTGAGAAATAAAAGAGGATGTTCAAACTCATCCATGCAATGACGGCTATTGGTTAAACCACCATATAAGATTAAAGCAAGAAAGAATTATATTACCATTCACTGCACTGAGGACACATAGAAGTCACCTGGAAATTTTCATACTGGCCATAACAGAACAGTCAATTACTAGTTTGAGTTGCATCTGGTTCTCTGCTCTCACTATCATGCCACGTTTTAGACTGCACAGCCAATGTCAGACTGAAATATCTGTACTTGAAGGTAGGCCTTTTGGTGGGTTGGCTTTTAACTGAATATTGAGTGACTTTCCTCTAGTCACTGACCTCTGAAGACTTCTATTCCAAGTTTGTTAGGATGGAAGTTCTAAGAAAAATTTGGAAAGAGAGCAGCATCTCCCAGCAGATCCCCTTAAAATTGCTGTCTAAAAGGGTAAACAATGGCAAACAAAACGAGAACAAACACATGATAAACATGAGAGCTTCTGTGCTACCATGCAAAACAAGAGACAAGCTTGAAGATGTTGTGATTAATGGAGCAGTGTCAAGTTGGAGGCCTGTAACCAGTGGTGTCCCCCAGGGGTCAATACTCGACCCAATCTTGTTCAATATATTCATCAATGACCTGGATGAGGGGACAGAGTGTATCCTCAGCAAGTTCGCTGATGATACTCTCTGGAGAGAGTCCAGCATAGGGCAAGTAGGATGATTGAGGGATTGGAGCATCTCCCTTATGAGGAAAGGCTGAGAGGGCTGGGACTCTTTAGCCTGGAGAAGAGAAGGCTGAGGGGAGACCTTATTACTGCTTACAAGTATCTAAAGGGTGGGTTGAAGGAGGACGGAGCCAGACTCTTTTCAGTGGTTCCCAGTGACAGAATGAGGGGCAATGGGCGCAAGTTGGAACATAGGAAGTTCCGTTCCAACACACGGAAAAACTTCTTTACAGTTAGGGTGACAGAGCACTGGAACAGGCTGCCCAGGGAGGTTCTGGAGTCCCCTTCTCTGGAGATTTTCAAGACCCACCTGGATGCAGTTCTGAGTAATGTGCTCTAGGCAATCCTGCTTTAGCAGGGGAGTTGGACTAGATGACCTCTAGAGGTTCCTTCCAACTCTGAAAATTCCGTGATTCCGTGAAGAGCCCAAGATCAGAAAAACAAACACCATTTTCTTTTCTCATCTTTAAAGAAAGGTGTCTCTCTAAACTAGCAAAAAGGCAACATGGATCACATTCTAGATTAAGTTAGACAATGGTGCCACAGAACTACACCACAATATGAAAAAACGGAAGTTCAAGCATTTTGTCCTGTCTGTATTGCCTATGTGAAACATTAAGACTAATTCCTGAGATAAGTACTACACCATGATAAACCAACGCTGTACAGCATTATCTCCTCAACCTCCTTTCCTTGCGACATCTTCTGTAGTCTGCAGTCTGTAGAAAGCAGTCTGCTTTCTGCTGTGTAATTACTACATTGAACTGTTTTGGATGCTTCAAATATTTGTCTTGTGGCTGGAAAAAAATTTAGCCTTTAGCAAGGAAAATTTACAACATGAAAGTCACTTGTAGACTTCACATTCAGGAGATGGAGAAAGTGTCTGAAAGTGCGGACATGATTTCTTCTCATCCTTCACAGAAAAGAAACAGACAATGAAGGGACCAGAAAATTCAGGAAGACGACTACTGTAATTTTTCTGTTCTAGGGTATTATTCTGGATTCTCAGAAAGTCAAAAAGAGAAATCCAACTTAATACATATAACTGAATTAAAAATTGTTTCTACCCCTTCATCACTTCAAAAAAGACAAGATTTAGAATCTTTCAAATCAAAATGCTGTGGTGAAAAAATTGGGGCATCCCATTTCAATGTGCTCAAAATGTTTCTCATTTTAAAAAACCTCTTAGGGTTTGAATTCTAATTCCTACTTATATCATATCATTCATATCAGTGAAAGGAGGTGAAAATAGTTCTATTCCTAACATAAATATTTTCAAGTCATTCTGGAAATTGCTCATATAGAATTTTATTCTATTGTTTAGCAAATAAGGCCACCCGAAAAAAAAAATAAATTCTGTGGAAACTGCTCCAGTTTTTGTGGAAACAGCTAGTGATTTCCAAAGAAATTGTAAAAACACCATCACAATGCACTTTCTTGATAATCCCAGATGACAACTGTTCTTTTCCACTACCACCTTTCTCTGAATAGACAGTAGGGTTGCCCCAGGCTGCCTGACCAAAGGCAAATTCAGGCTGACCTCGTTCTGTGCTTACGGTGCTAAGGAAATTCTTCATGGGATTTTTGTTTGTTTCTGGACAGCAAAAGAGGAATAAACACCCCCAGTGGGTTGAGCTTTGACTTATGCACATTATGTTGAAGTTCAGGTCAAGGATAGCATACTGCAAAGAATTTTGAAATCACCAAAACGTACTACAAAATTTAGATGTGTTATCCAGTCGTAATATATTCACTCATGCTACGAAGGGATGGCCTTTTCTATAACAACTATGAGCACAGAATTTGGCAGTCTGTCATGAAAAATGAGTAAGAGCTAGCCATAAATATGCCACATATGATGCTGTTGTGTGATTCTTTCTAATTGATTCTTCTTCTGCTTTAGAAGTTATTAATAACTATGGTGAGGCGCATATGCACAGAGAATCAAGTCCGTATATTTACCTTCAGACATGTTGCTTAAACACCTTTTAGGTTAACATTGATGAGCACTGAGTGAACAAGTAAGTGCAGACAGGTTCAGGCACCAACCAACATCTTAGCAGTAAGGAATAATAGTTACTTACAATTCCACCTTCCTCACCAGGATGGCCAGGAGATCCTCTGTATCCCGTACTTCCCTGAAAAACAGGAACTTGGGAGATAAGTAACACTGTTCTCCAAGCACACTGGGTTCATTTCTGTCAGATTACTCTGCACATGGAGATGGAAAACATTTCCTGAAAATTAGATCTGGTTATGCTGAGGAGGGCAGGCTCGATCAAATACATTTACACAGATATTCTGAACAGTCCTATGTACTTGACATGGCTGTGGAAAAAAACCCAAAACAAAACAAAACCAAAAAACACAACAATGTTTGATATAAATTTCAGTATGTTATTTCAGGAAACTGCCTGAGGGGTTAACAAAGCTCATTGGGATATTTAGTCAAATTAAATATCTTCCTTAGTGATTTGGAAAAGCAGGCATTATACAGTAATGAGATTCTAAGGTGAAGTGAAAAATATAAGGAGTTGAAAACTTGTTAGGACAAAGCTATCGCAATACCTTACAAAGATTTTTAGGAATATTGCAACTTTGTATCTGAAGTGATGCAAACCTCACATCCTCAGGGCAAAAGCTTGAACAGAGAGAAACTAAAACAAACTGAGTTTCGACAAATTAAAGTGAACAAAAACGAGACAGGAATTTGTGCTGCAAAAACATGTTTTACAATTGTAGGCTGTACAATCCAGGCATCGTGTTTGTCTGCCTGCAAAACAACTATGTCGACATTCTGAATGCTGTTTTGTCTGAGCATGTTAATCTAGACATTTTAGTAAAACAGAAAGGCGTAAGAAAATCAACAAGAATAATGGAAGAAATCGGTAAATTGGTTTAAGAATAAACATTAGCAGACTATACTTCTGCTAAGAGATAACCAAAAATTCATTTAACTGCAACCACATAACTGAAGAGTGTGATCTACAGATACAATTTACTTAGCACGTTACTCGAATAACTAGAAATAATGGAATTAATAGTAGTCAAATGGAGCCTACATATAGTAAAAACCTTAATAATGAAACTTCTACTAGCGTGCTGTAGAAGTGGTAATATCTGTAACACTTGAAAGGCTTAAAACAGACAATATAAAATCTTAAAGAAAATAATGTAAATTAGTACTGTATTTGATGAGAAGAAACTTATAGAAGAGGATATTTGGAATAAGGATAAGGCTCACACCTAGTGAAGAAGGATTATTTTCTACTCTCAGCATGTTGGCTGGAAGTTTTTCATTCACAATAGCTAATAAGCCTCTTGGTTAATCAGACTTAATTTTTTTAATCCCTCTACATTTTCTGCTGAATTGGTAAAGGAGCATGCTTAATGCTTTTTATATGTACGAATCATTTTCATTACAAAAATACTTTTGCAATAGGAACACGCTGCAGAGAAATTATCACATTTCATGTTTCCCCTTCATCTGCCCTAACAGCTAAGGTCGTGGGCCCATGCATGCATGCTCTAAAATACTATGAAAAAGGAAAACACTTTGAAAAATGAATCAATTCTTAAGTAATGTCTATCTTAGCTCTCCTACCTTACTTCCAGGACTTCCCTGGCCACCACGATCACCATTTTCTCCAAGGCATTTACAAACAACCTTACAACATTTCCTTTCTGCAACAGTATCCTGAAAAATGACAAAGAAACATTTCATTTAGGGATATTATTCATAAAACAAAGACTGATTGTCCCCCTTGTTATTTATATCACAGAAAGACTTACAAGATTTCTCTGCAAGATGTTTGCAATCTCTGCAAACCCAACACTCGGAGGTTCATTGTATCCAAACCCTCTGCCAAACTCTATTTCCTGGAGTTCAGACAAATTCTGTGTATTATCCAGGCCAACTAATAGAAGTGCATCAAGACCTTCAACGTAAGCATAGATTTAAATTAGTAGATGCCTGAACTATATTATTTAACCAACAATATCATTGTGAATAGCAGCAGTTCTCTAAAAGACTTACATTTCATAGCTTCACCACAGTATGTTAAAAGAAATCAAGCTGTTGAAAACAATGTATAAGAGAAAAAAACCTTACCAGTAATTTTCCAATTAACTTCTCTCCCCAGTTGTCAGACCAGACTGCTACTCAGTGCCAGAACAGAAGTGTAAAACTGTTTGCTCCTGCAGAAGTCAGAGTTGGGTCTAACCTCTGGTGCTGCACTCATCTGTGAGAGGGGCTGCCCTGAATTGCCCCAGCTGCCGGAGCTGGACTCCAAAAAGAAGAACCATCCCAGGACCTCTGCGCCCCTAGGTGTGTTTCTGGCATCATCTGCCAGGCAAGCAATCCTGTACACTGGGTCACATGGAGAAGCAAACACTCTCCCAGCAACTCCTGAGGAATGCCGTACGAGTGTGGAGAGGTAATGTTATGTGGAAAAGCTGCAGTGGGGGAGCAATTGGGCCATTGGTAGTAAGATGCTTGAGCATCAATGCAGTACTGTAATACCTTTAAAGCGAAGTGAGTCAGCTGCTTTTCTGAGATCTTCCAGTGAATCGTCCAGCCCATCTGAAAATACTAACAGAACCTATCAGGAAAAGGAGTAATGCCAAGTCAATTAAGAAGAGACTAAAAGTTATATATGTTTAGAAAGCTCTAATTTCTATAAAGCTCTTGTTGGAACACATCTGAGTCTTGCTTTGTCAAAAATGCTGGAATTAGGTCCAACTCTTTTGCTGAGAAACAAACAAATTAAATAGAAAAGAAGAAATGCAAACAACAGAGAATCACTAACATGAGCATGTTATTGCTCAGGATCCTAGAGAGATTAAATTGTGATTTCACGTGCATTCTAAAGTCTTGTATTTCCAATTTGCACATAAACAGTATCAGAAAGGAATATTAATCCACTGACAAAGTGTTGAGATATGCAGCATATTTATTTCTAGTAATAATGCATAAGCAGAAAGAAGCCTTGCTTAACTCTAATCTTCAACAGAGATCTAACATAATTGGCAATTAGGAAAAAAAAAAAAAAAAGCACTGCTTTTACTTGTATGTCAAACAAATTCTCTCTACTGCAGCCCAAAAGAAGCAAAATTGTGCATGGATTATGTTCCCCATTCAGAATAAAATGACATTTTAAATCTTTGGGAAAAAAATAGTATTAAATACGTACCAAATTACAACCTCAATTGCTAAGCCATACTGATACAAATGTAAGAAAAGAGAACGCCAACTTTCATCTGAAAGCAGGGGAATTGTAACAATATGGCTTTCTCACTCCACATCAGATTAAAATTAACATCGCAGATTTTCCTGATCATCAGTTATCCATGAGCAGAACTCAGCTTTGTTATTTGAAATTATTTGACAAGTTAACTACACAAATAAACGTCTGTAAACAACTTTCTTGGATGATGTTTTCTGTGACTTCTTAGAGCTGTCATTATTCTGGATGGGGATTCAGGATCAGGATTTAGAGTTTCTGAAAGAGAACTGTTTCCACTACTCAAAGTACAAAGACATTCCATGGTAGATATAAGAAGGTTTTCTGTATGAATACTCATGATCATATGTATTAAGCCAAATGTTCTGGGTACCATCTTACTGCAGGAGTGCCTAGGGAATCTCAACTGATATATGCAGTTGTATCAGGGCAAATGAAAGAACAGGAGGATCTATACAATCATAAGGAAACACTTTTTTACCATGAGGGTGACTAAGCACTGGCACAGGTTACCTAGAGAGGCTGTATAGTCTCCATTCGTGGCGATACTCAAAAGCAATCTGGACACGGCCTTGGGGAGCTTGCTCTAGTTGACCCTCCTTGTGCAGGGGGCTGGACAAGATGACCTCCAGAGGTTCCTTCCAATCTTAACCATTCTGTGATTCTGTTTATTGGATTCACCAGCTCCTGAACTAACTTTTTGTCTTCCTGGAGTACTCAGCATCAGAGTCCGTAAACATCAAACTGCATAATTTTTCCAACATACACATTCACACCATTAAGTTACCTTAACTTTAGCAGAGGTCACACTAAAGAGCTTCTCCTCAAGTGCCTGTAAGAAGTCTGCATTCAAGTAGGTGTCCACAGTGGTCTGTGCATCTAAGAACTTCTGGATATTCTCTTCATTATAGTCTTCAAAATCAGAGTCAAAGATGAATTGTTTGGTCTGTGCCAATACTTGGAACTTGAATCTAATGTTGACCGAAGAGCCAGCATTACAGCTGGTATTTGGCAGTGATTTCATCTGGAGTAAAAGCTTGGGGAGGAATGCTTGCAATTTCTGTTTCAGAAGCACTGTGGATGCTGGCTGCATGCGCCTTGAAATATCAACTGCTATAGAAATACCTATGTTGCAATCTGAAAAAAGTAGAAGAAACAGGAAACTATAAACCTACACTATTTGAGATCTTGTCTTTTGTCAGAATCACGGGAGTGGAACAAAATACAGTATAATAGCTTTAAAACCAGAAGTCAGAATCAGTGAGACAGGCTTTTCCATAAACATAAAATACCATCAGCTCACCAGTTTCAGTGGGGCTATGTGAACTTGCAGATATTAAGGACTACATTACTGAATATATGTACATACCCAAACTGCAAAACAGGTCACTGTTCTCCAGCTATCAAATGTCCTCAAAGGGCCTAATCTTGCAAATGTTTCCATGAGCTTTGCTACCAACTGAGAATGCAGTTGGATTATGAGTTGCACAATGGGAAGCTTGATGGCTGACTGTGCTTTACCATGTTGTCACAAGACCAGATGGTATGTAAAAATGTAGAAAAATAGGCCAAAGAAACAAACGTGAGAGAAAGAGGCAGCATTACCTACATGCAATGTCATATATCCACTGTGAACAACAGCTGCTGTAAGGTGACGGCTACCTCAGTTATGGAATTGCTTGCATAGCTCCTGATAATAACAGCAAATACTGCAATGTGGTTAATTCGTGCCCCTCCCCCCCTCAAATTATCTTGCCCTCATCAAGCAGCTAAACCACTTGGCTTATTTCTTTTGTGCCCTGATTCTTCATGTGTCATGCTGAATTTTATTTTGTGCTCCTGCAAGCGTTATCATCTGTTGTGGTACCTCTGCAAGGAAGCCAGAGGCATGCAATTTTATCTGTAAAACAGCGCTCTCCCTAATTTTGTTCCTTCTTCGCCCATTGACTTTGAAACACTTATCAAACACAAGGTTGTTTTCCACGTTTGCTAGTTTGGGCTACTTCCTGTAGACCATTATTCCATATAAGTTTCATTACAGTTTTCTGGGTTTTCCCTCACACATGAAAAAGATGAATGTGCTCAGCTCTTTAACAAAATAAATCCAGAAATAATTTCACCTCAGAGTGGCCATCCTTGTTTCAGTATTTTCACAAACTGCCCCCTAGAGGGTATGACTTGCTGGTAAGCAGCATGAAAATCTTTAAATGTAAAAGGTCACACTGAACGTGTTTTTATGGCGAAAATATCGGACGTTCAGGCCTCAGAGCAACATAAAAAAATCTATACAACTTTTCTGTTTAGTCCACCACAAGAAAAAATTTCTCTTAAACAGCTGAATATACATACATATATGTCTACACACACCCCTCCCTCAGTCATGCCCTTAGCCAGGTTGTGAGGCTGCATCTAATTTCAAGATTCACAGAACACCTGTGATGGAAAGGCCATCATCCATTCAGGGAACATTTTTCTAGCTGTGAGGGATATTTCTGATTAAAAATTTCGATGAACATAAAATTTATTGCATATTTCTTCCACTGTGTGTTCATGTCCAGCACACACAGAGGATGTTTTCACAATGAGATTCTTCTGAGATCTGTGTCTTTTTAATCACATAGTTCGAGGACAGTGTGAAGGGCCACCACGGACTCAGCAGTTTAGCCCTGAAAAGTGGTCATGCACACTGCATAGCTCTTAAAACATTCCCTGCCAACTCCCCAGTATACCAGCAATAATATCAGAACAGCAGTAAAGCATCCACTGTTGTGCTGCTGTGTTGTGCATGCAAATGTGTAAAGCAGTTATAGGTACTCTGTACTCTTGATAATCTCTATTTATTTGCAGGAGTAAACCCCTCTGTGTAGCTAACCTCTTTTTCTAATCACCTGTTCTCCCCCACACATCCACATTGTTACACTGCCCTATCTTACTGCTGCAAAGGTATCTTTTTCCCCTGTTGATGTTCCATACCTTGAATGCCATTTTTTTAAATTTGAAAAATCTGGCAGTTTAAGAGAAGGTGACTGGAGAAAGGGGAATTAATAGATTTATTACAGGAAAGAAAGTCAGCAAATACAGGGAAACAGATGACAGGACAAGATAAAGCAGGCTTCACAGGAAGTTGATCTTTGTTTTATGAGACAAATTTATGCAGAACTTAACAATAAATACATGCATCGGTGAGATCAAAGCCAATATGGCTTCTTTAACTTCTCTCTCTGTAAACAAGCATGCCTGTATTGATAGTAAGTTTGCTGCTGTATCTCCTATTGAAACTCCCTGTTCTCTCACCATGAAACACCAGGAGGTGCTACTGCATCAGCCATGGTCACGCTATTCCCCAGCAGCACACTCCACTTCCACTGCAGCCCTCTCTCTCTCTCTATCTCTCTGCTTCCAGGAGCCGGGGATGCCTTTTCAGGGGGAGGTTTGCTCAGCTCTCGGTGTGAAAAAGAGGGGGTGGGGGCGCAGAGCTCATACTGAAACAGGCCCGGCTGCCCTCCTCTCTGAAAACCAACTGAGTAGTTATAATTCACACAGAGAGTAGCTTCTGGCTTTAGGAGGGAAGGCTCAGCTCTTCATTTTGGCCCCCAACACCCGGGCAAACACCAGCCAGTTTGAGGGTGATTAGGATCTCATGAGCCATGAATAAACTGATTGTAACTTCATTTACAGTCTGCGAAGACAGATATGCATATCTGGAAGGCACATCAGATGCAAGACAACTGAAACCGGACCTAAATGCATCCTTCAATGTAGCAGTTTATGATGGAGAAGGGAATTAAAGGCAAGTGCCTAACTACCAGCATGGTCTCAAACCCCTAATCTTTTCTCTTCATTGAGAAAAACTAGTGGAGGTATCCACACGGACCTCTGCAAAACCAGAAAAATAAAAAAAAGTTTCCTTTTTAAATTTTAACTACACTACATTTTAAACATTCATCATTGTTTTAAACACCAACTTTTTGTTCTGATTTTACTTTTGCTACCATGCCTGTTTTACACCCCTCTCCCTTTCACCATTCAACAATAACAGTCCTTAAAGAAACAGGGAAAATACATTTCCTGTGAATTCTGCTGTACAGCAAATGTATCGAAAGGGAAAATATGACTTCCTTTCATTTTTGTAACTCCTAGTATGTTCAATTTCTGAACTAGGTTTTATGAGGAATTAAGAGTTACCAAAACCATAACTTAATCAAGGAAAAATTCTCTGTTCAACTGTTCAATGACATCAAAACAAAATGTTTTCTAAAGAAGGCTCCACCAGCTCTAATGAGATGAAATTGAATGTACTTCAGAGAATCTGTGAATCTGACCCTGATTTTATTTGCAATACATTAAGGCTCAGCTTTAGAGAGCACTGAGCATAAGCTTACTTCCCTATTTTAACAATTAAACCTCACTGACGTCAACGCAGACATTGAAATACGTTAGAAAGAACAGGGTCGTCATCCTGAACTGCAACCTAACTGAAAATTAGCCCCATTGTTTTCAATCACTTTACATGACAGTAACACTGATGTAAATGACATCAAAACCAGGACCACTTTTCTATACCTTATTTTCACAATTACACATTATGAACAACTGAAATGGCACAAGTATAAGGACAATTTCTTACTTTCTATCTCACTTTAAACTGCAACCCAAAAGTTTCCCAGAAGTCTTGTGGGAAGATCTTGAAGGTCATCAAAATTACCAGCTCTATACAGATATTTACCAAAAGGTTTGCGGGCTATTTGCTGAAGCTCAGCTGTATTCTGGACACCAGTTCCTACAGCATAGTGGGCAATGTCTCTGTTCCTCAGTTTCCTGGCAGGCAATTCAACTTCATCACTGGACGCTCCACTGGTGATCAGAATGGCTACCTGCGGGACATAACCCTTAGCTCTGCTACCAGCAGTTTCAGTGAAATACACTGCTGACAAAATCCAGAGCTCTCCCTGTGTAAACTTCTCCACTCCTATATGGCAAATTCTCAATCTGCTCCAAAACATCACTTTTCAAATACTGATTCAGCGAGACTTTTTGGTAAGTCTCATCACTATATTGTGCCAGCCCAACTTGGATCGCATCAAGGCCAACATCAAGACTTGAAATCAAGGTGCAGAGAAAGTTCTTGACTTTCTGAAAGCCTTCCTGGCCAATATTCGTTGAAGTATCCACTAAAAAGACAACATCTGCCAACGTGGCCTTTCTCCAAGCTGCCCAAAAAGATCACATAGAAGAATGAATTACTATAGCTTCTTCTCCAGCTTTGTTCATGAGCAAGGAAAAACTGACTGTACGTTCTACCATTCATGAAAGAAACTGCAACTGTGTTGTGTGTTTCTGCCTTCCCCTTCCTCCTGCTCACCTTCTCCTCTCCCACCATTATTTTTAAAATTTTAAAGGTAGACAGATACTCAAAATTTACGACAGTTATGAGATGATATTGAAAACTAGTTAGCAATACATAGAATATGCAAGAAGCTAAACCTCATATTTTGGCAACGCACTGCAATTCCATGTACTATCTATGAATAGAAAAAAAATAAACCCGGGAAGAAAACAGCTCTTACAGGACATACCATGGGCAACCTGAGTAGCTGGTCCAGTTATCTCCTCTACAGTAACACAAAGCATCTGTAGAATACTGTGAGAGAGTACCTGCAGAGAAGCAAAATCTTCCACTTCATAGACATGATTATCAGTTAGCTCACTAGCTATTTCTTGAAGCTCACACAAAGTAGAACCTTGAACACCTATGGCATACAACATGATACACATCCTTGATTGCTGTGGCTGGGTTTTGAACATCATCTTCAGCCTGTCCATTTGTTACCACCACAGTGATCTGAGGAACACATTCTTCCTTTTGGCTACCTGCACTTGCTGCTAAGTGATTCTTTAGCATAAACTAGAGGCTGTGGCCAGTTTTGGTGCCTCCTCCTTTGTAATGTAATTTCTGTATCTTCTGTAAGGTATCATCCTTGTTATAGCAAGCGTTCAACAAGAATTCGGTGTATGGCACATTACTGTACTGAATCATACCAACACAGATTTTGTCATGCCCAATATCAAAGCCATTGACCATTGTGTACCAGAAGTCTTGCATGATCTTAAAGTTCTTTGTCCCTATGCCCCAGGATCCATCTATGAGGAAGATGATGTCTGCTATAGAAGCTTTGCTGCAGACTGAAGAAATATTTTGTAACTTTCCTGTTTTCCTACAGGATGTCTAATCTAATAAAAGAGTAATTTTGCATCCTGATTACTTTTCAGAATCCAAGACCTATTGGCCTTTTGCAGAATAATCCTTCCATCTGTCCTGGTAAATTCTCAGCACCCATTAGTTCCTTCTTTTCCCCTGCTCATCATACAGAGGGTCAGAGGCTACATCCTTCTGCAACACCAATCTCAGGCAAAGAAGAGATGCTGAAATTCACACCAACATAATTTCCATACACAGCCTTCTTGGAACTCGTATGTAGTAATTGCATATGGTAATTGCTGTACACACTTCTGCATGTGAACCACAACCATAAGAATGCATCAACCTGCTGTTAAGTGAGTGCCCTGGTTTGAGCAACACAGGATTAATCTCTTTCAGTAATTTTACTTTTCAGTAAGGTCTCTTCTAATGCTAGGGAAAGCTGCATTTTTAGAAGACTCTAGTGTCCAAATTTGTGAAAATATTTACTTTATAGCCAGCTATGGTATACAGGTTTCAAGGTCTCAGTGTTTTCGAGATAGCCAGGTGCAGGGACAAGGAAGAGAGAGACCTGGGCACTTGACCCAAGCTGGCCAGCAGAATTATTTCACACCATGAACATCACATTCAATATAGATTAGAAAGCTTGCTGAGGATTTTCTGCTCTTCTATGATAGCTGTGATCCTGACAATTTCTTGCCCCAGTGCTGGACCCCTGAGGCCTTCCCTTCCTCCCAAAGCCATAGCACTCACAGTATCCGACATTTGCCATCCATTGCTGCGAGTGCACAGCTTCCTACTGATAGAATTGGCTGAGTATAATCCTCGTATATTTTATATTGGTAGTGGGATCAATATTGGTTCTTTAGTACTATTAATATTAATTATTTAGGATTATTCTATTAAATCTGTTTACAGTTCAATCCTCGGGTTCCTTGTTTTTTCTGATTCCCCTTCCTGGGTAGGGAAGGGGTCATTGGTGATAGAATAATTGTCCAAATGACAATAAATTGTTGTGGGTTCTTCAAACCATAACTGTGAGCCCAAAGGAAAATTTACTCATGCACCTTGTGTTCCATTCTGCAAGCATACATTACTAACAAATATTTATTATCTGAGGGGAAAAAAAATAAATTCACACTCACTTAAACAGGACTAACCATATTATTTGTAGTAAATACTAAACTCATGTTTCCAGACCTTTCAGAAGCGTATGACACTAGCAGGACATGGATGAAACAGTTATTACTTCTTCAAACCAAGTCATGCAAAAAGTGTTCCATAACTGGACAGAACACTTTCTCAATCAGGTGTTCCAGAAGACTTGACTACCAAAATGAAAATGCTAAATCCCATGACTTATCTTGCTTTTGGCAGTCTTACAATTGTAAGAGTTTTTCATTGCTTTTTCAAATGTGGAACCTCAGCATGCATGAACAAAAAACAAATTATAATGAGCTGTTGCACTTAATTTCGCACTTTTTTAGGACAACTCTCCTGTCCTAGTTTAAATATACATTTCATAAAGACATACCACGTTATCCCTAGTTACAGAAATAATAAACTGTCATCAGTTCTTCATCCCTCTCTGTCATTGGGTATAAATGGAAAAAATGAATTTTGTTATCAACTTGAAAAAGTCATTTCTTTAGAAATGTATTACCAGTCTGCTGTGCATCTATAGAGCAGAAGGTGGAAACAAAGAGAAGAACAATAAGTGGTTTCCAGTCATCCATTTTGAAAACCTCCCTAGAAAAAAAACAAAGACAGTAAGAGATACAGAACATAATTTCCTCAGAAAGAGATTTTTAATTGTGGACGACATGGGTTAAGTGCATTTTATTAACAACATGGAGGCTTTCTAGCTGTATGCAATTTAAAGCAGCGCTTTAAATTCATATTTTCTTCCCTCAGCTTTTAACACAGAGCTGTTAGAGTCTGACACTGATGTACAGCATACAAATAAAATGAACTGCTCACTGCTCTGCTCTCACAACCATGCTTAATTCTGATTCACACAGCTATATTTACTATGATCCAAAATTCAACTAAAAGCAAGTTATTCACAAACTAAGATTAATGGGAGTTATGCTTCCAAGATTCCCCTCTAGCCTTGAAATTCCTTACCCACACATCTATATTCAAAAGAAAAATTTTGTGGTGATATCTATACACAATACACATAGATAAGAATAAGCATTCGTTTACAAATGAAATATGCCAGTTGGCCAGTAATGAAGACACTTGCCATATAAAAGTGCTGCAACTCAATGCTGTGGGAAATGGGAATGAAAATCCGACAGCAAGAACGTACAAAATTAAGCCACATTGAGCTTAGACACACTAAACAAGTGAGAACAAAACAGTTTTGAAAAACTTTCAATTCTGGAACACACATACACTAAATAGTTTAAAGAATAAAAAGAAATAATAAACCAGAGCCTTGGAGGCCAAGCATGCAAAAAAGGATGAATATGAAAACATTGCATATATTGGGGGGTTTTGGAGATGCTGAAGTTGTCCTCCTTTTCTGACTAGTTCCAGCTATTTTCCTCCTAGTTCCACCCTCACATCAAACCTGAGTTGTATAGCACAAAACTGATGTCAGCAGGCAGATGAAAACATTTCTGGTAAAATTTATGAATATAAAGGCTAAATGTTTCTGCATTGTGACATGAGTAGCACAGAACCAGGCTGGCTAGGTATGAGGATCCTCCAGCAGTGAGGATGAGAAAAAACAGGTATAGTGCTCATTTATTCTATGACCTTTGGTTATTCAAGTATTTAAAACAGATCAGTAAAAGATGCCACCCACTGCAGCAGTTCAGCCAGCCAAAAGTCACTGCTCTCACCAGCCCTTTGTAGCTGGTCCTCTGTGAACTGATAGCACCTCTTCCTATTCTAGGGGAAAGAATAGCTTGACAGAGATACTGTCTATGTTGTACTTCTTTCCCATGGATGTGCATGTCAGCGGCAACGCTGTTCAACACTGTGTATAGTCTCTTCCTCAGGCCTCCAAAACACATCTGTTGGCAACAAGGGTTCTGTAGAAATTACACTGAGGAATGAATCACTGAGGAAGGTGAGGTAAAATTCAGCAACCTGATGTAACTCAGATATTATGCTCAAATGCTCAGTGACTGAAAAGGACATCCCACTGGGGCTATGTTAAGAACCTCATACTTAATATACAGCTTATGTTAGAGGTATATTGGTGTGGAAGATGCATGGCTACTGACTTTTATGTGCTACCACCTTATTACCAAAATGTTATACAAAGCACTGTCGAGCTACTAGTAATATAGAATAAACCAAACACTGCTCTGGCTCAGGCTACGTTTTGAACCTGTTGGTTGATCCTGGCAGATGCTTAGATCAGAAGAGATAGCTTGAGCCACTTATATTCCAGGCTTGGGTTTGACACAGAGTGCAACCTCAGTAAACTCAGGATCCTGGCTTAGCTTTCCCCCCTCCCCCCCCCTAAAAGGTTTCAGGGCTTCTGGAATTCTGACGAGAACAATGAATCTAGAATTTCCATTTTGGAGCTGATCTGCACACAAATTTCCCCAGCATCTGTATCTCTGCCACTGCTTAATATCTAATAATTATGTTGGCATGAATACTGCCTAAACGTTTAAGTAACAGAGAGAGAAATGTATGTAGATGACACACAGAAGCAATTGGACAGCAGGCAAAAAACAAGCTAGTTCATCCTCCCAGCAACTGGAAGGCTTCCTAGGCACACTTCTTGGAACCCAACAGCATCCTTCTCAGAATCAGTCAGTCTCAGACACAGGTACATCCTCAGACATCATTCCTCTTGTGGAAGGATGTGGAACTGTATCTGTGTACAGGGAGAGGATATTCAAGCAATGGCTACAGCTTAACAGGTTAATCCACACGTTAGTCTTCTCAGTATCTTCAAGGTGTGTGCTGGGGGCAGGGTATCTACCTATACATGCAGATTGTTCCTCTTTATTTCTGTCATTTTTATTTGATAAACCTCCCTTTGCCACTATTCACCAAAAAAGTCCTAATGATCAGAACAAAGGTCCACCTTGCCCAGTCTCCTATCATTGACAACGGCCATTAACTTAAGGAAAGAGCATAAAAGGAAAGTTAAGGAATGTAGGTAACTTGCCCATTCTACACAGACTGGCTTAAATGTTTCCAGGTTGTATTTGGGTGAAGACCATGCTTCCATAAATTCTTCTAATCTCTTTTAAAGCCAGCTATACTTTTATATTAAAATCACAAACCAATTTGATTGTTTATCATATTGTAAACATCATTTATATTCTACTGAAAAAGCAAGCCAAGTATCTGTGAAAATATAAGTAGATGATCAAATGCTGCTGTTAACAATTCATTACACTGGTTTTTAAACTATATCCTGGATCTACAAAGACAATTTAGCAGAAAGGCTACAGCTAGTCTAACATCATAGCACAGAAATCATCTGTTTGAATCTATATTCTGCCCTGAGGCAATAGCAAAACTTCATTTCCAAGTATTACCACACCAAGCCCCACTGTAGCTCTTGAAGGGTTCTTTAGAACCTCCCATGGAAAGAAAAAAGCCACATTTCCTATATTTCAAGACATTTATCACATATGGGCACTCTTTACTATTATTAGTACTGCAGTAACACAGAAACTCCAAATGTAACTGAGGTCTCTATGCAACAAAAGGGGTTCCAGGTACTATGTGGTCCTAAAAAGAACAGAAGGCAATGCTGCATTGTGGAAAGCTTCTTCATCCCTCTGCACATCACAGTTTTCTTTAATAAGCACTTCTAACATAAGGGAAACTGTGGTATGTCATATACGAAACCACAGCAAATAAAAATGTTTTGCAGTCATCTTATATGGCATCTTCACAGTTAACTTTTGTCTTGGATTTAATTATTTTTTCTGTATATATGCCTAATAGTTCTGGAACCTCTTAAGAGCTCTCCTTGATCACTTCGACAGATTTGATTCCCAGTTATCTATTTTCACTACTATGTCTCATGACAGCAGCCTGGTTTTTTAGATGTTAGTAAGCAAAAAGTTTATACTGACACACAACTAAATATTTAACTGTATCCAAAATAAAAGTAATCATGATTACTAACTTTCATTACAGTATTATGCAGTACTTACTTTGATAGCACAGTTATTGCACCAGAGGAGCAGTAAGCATCTTGAATTATCTGGTTTTAATAAACTGCACATAGATCTCTAGACACAGCTAGAACTGTACATATTCAAGGGCATATAAGTAAAATGCTGCAGTATTTCATAGAATTATAGAATGGCTTAGGTTGGAAAGGACCTTGAAGATCATCGAGTTCCACCCCCCCCTGCCATGGGCAGGGACACCTCCCACCAGACCAGGTTGCCCAAGGGCACGTCCAGCCTGGCCTTGAACACCTCCAGGGATGGGGCCTCAACAACCTCTCTGGGCAACCTGTTCCAGTGCTGTACCACCCCCAAAGTGAAAAACTTCTTCCTAATGTTTAATCTAAACCTGCCCCCTTCCAGTTTAAAGCCATTCCCCCTTGTCCTGTCACTACATGCCCTAGTAAAAAGTCCTTCCCCAGCTCTCCTGTAGGGCCGCTTTAGGTACTGGAAGGCCGCAATAAGGTATCCCCGGAGCGTTCTCTTTGGCAGCTGAACAGCCCCAACTCTCTCAGCCTCTCCTCATAGGAGAGGTGCTCCAGCCCTCAGATCATCTTTGTGGCCCTCCTCTGCACCTGCTCCAACAGGTCCGTGACCAAAGCCTCTAGTTACAGTGGTGGAGATTTTTAGAACAAAATATTGAGTTTGTGAAAAACTCAAGGGCACCAATATCACCATGCTTTCAGGGGGTATGTGGTTGCCCACAGTCAGATATGCAAAATGTTGTTGCTGTTTTAGCAAGGGGCTAGACTTTCCTCACTGATGTAAACATTCGAATTGCATACCAAAGTCTAGCTCTTCCTGTTATACCATACACAATAACCAGTGACTGTTGAGCTATGCAACTGTTTCCATACCTCCTAACAGCTGTAGTATGTTTGCCTCCTTCAGCTTCTTTCAAGCTCATGATTCAAGAATGTTTCCTGCTCATAGGGTCAGACACCCTACGCCTGCAAAATCTCTCCCACTTTTTCTAAACAGTGAGTGCATATGGGAACCTATTTCCCACTCACACTTTATTTTTCCCTTCAGTACCCCCTATTGACATCAGGCAGCTCCTTTATATACACAGGGACATTACAATTTAAAAACATGTGGAGACTAATTTCCCTACTTGTACCATTTATTTTGCCTTATCTTCACAGAGGAAATTCCAATCATGCACTACAAGCTGCATAAACAGAGGTAATTTATGCGTTCTACGTGTATTCTTCATTATTTGAAAGAATTAATTTAATGGAAAACTCATGTCACACAGCTCATAGATACTACGGATCAAAACCTAAATAAACTCACGTAGAAACATGCAGTGTCACAGACCATTACCAATTCTGCATATGAAGCTAGCAATATGTTAATTCTGAAACTTATTTGAACATAAAACAGTATATACAAGGTCATAAGCTAGTCATAAGCTACTTAAAGATGCATAACTGTAGTTGTGTACCCAAATATATACAGACATAACCTACATAAGATGCTAAGAAAGCAGTTCTCCAAAACTCTGGGTTCTTTCCACTTTAATGCTATTTTAGGAGACAACAGTATGAAAATTATTAAAAGCCCTTAGAAAA